TATTATTTAATTTTTAAAAAAATATATTTATATAATTTATATAGGAAGAGGAACAAGTATTTTTTAACAGATTGGAGGAAGTTGGTTCTGAAGGTCAATGGGGAATATTTTCAATAGCGATTCCTGGTCGTGTTGGTTATCAAGTAAGTTTATAAAACCTTTTATCAATAGAAAAATATTTATTTATTTATTTATTTAAACTGTTATTATTAATTATTATTATTATTATTAATATTTATTAGTGTTCCAACTTTTATCGATTGTTAATAGAAACTGGGAGAATTAAAGATCCAAATTATGTAATTGATAGAAATGGTAAAGCACATTATTTGTTTAGTACTAGGAATAAGAAAACAGGCGAAATGCAAGAAACATGGAAAAAATCACACTGAAAAAACACTTGTTACAATCAAACTCAAATCATCACATAAAAAAATACTTTGAACACTGGTGAAGAGAGGAAGAAGAATGTGATAACGATGGTTATGTTTTGAAATTATGTACAATATTATAATATGTACGTGATGGATAAATCCATTAAAACAATTTTAATGTTTATAAATAATAATAATTAATAATAACTTTATTTTATAATTCAGTAAATAGTACAAAAAAATTTCTTGTAAAATTTTAAATTTTATATGTTTGTATTTTAAATCTATACAATAGATAATAATAAAGGAAAAAACCGATACAATTATTTATAATAATATTGATTTATCATTTTATTATTTTCCAAACAAATAACTTTAACTTTCATCTATTTTTTTCCTTTTTACTATACAATTAATTTCTTCAAATATGATTTTTTATTGTCTCTTCATAGGATTATATATGTTAATCATGCCTATAATAAATTAAATATGCCCACACATACATTACACACACATTAACTCATCTTAAGGCATTAATACTTTCAATAATCATTAGAAGAAAGAGCCTCAGATTTCCTGGCCAATATTTTGGATATTATAAGATAAAGAAATACCAATGTTATTATTATCCATTTTCTCCATTTATCAAATAAACTTCTTTGCACAACAATGTTATTATTATTGGTACTAGTATCGCTGCTACCATTACTACTACTATTATTAATCTTATTGTTGTTGTTGTTGCTATTCTTTTTATTATCATTTGATAGATTTTTATTATGCTTATAAGCGATTCTTTTGCGAAGCCTTTTGAGATATTCATTATTGTACATTTTGGTAAGTACTAATGTCTATTATTATTATACAAGAATAAATGATTTAATTTTTGTTAAAAACAATGGTAATATCATATAACCAACATGAATAAAAAATAATATTTTTTTGAAGTTAATTTACCTCATCACCTTTACAGCCTTCTAATGCTTCTTTGATTTCTTCATTTGTAGCAAACCAAAGTTTGGAATTGATAAATTTAGCTTTACGTTGAAATTCACGTTTTTCAAATTCTGCAAACTGTTATTTTAAATAAAATTGTTTTATAATTATTAAAAAGATGTATATATAAATATATATATATAAACTTACCTGTTGTTGTTGCAATGCTACCCGTTTTTCAATTATATCTTGTTCAAGTTCTGTAATTTCTTCAGCAAACAAATTTGGTTTTCGAATAGGTTGTATGTTTTCACTTTTTTAACAATGAAATTAAATAAATAAATAAATATGTACTGTTTGATTTATTAAGAACTTAATTCACCTTTCTTGTAAAATTGTTTGGTTAGTAATAGTAATGTTATTATCAGTAATATTAAATGAACTTTCTTCAATTGGTTTATCTGTATCAATATTAGTGGTTTCTTGGCTATTTATTAATGATTTAAGCTGCTTCTGTAATTATTTTTTAAAAATAAATAAAAAAATCTATATGGATAGTTAATGGTTAATAAATAATAAGAAACAAATTTCTAACCGAAATATTCGTAATGTTTATTGAAAGTGGTGGATTTGACGAAACCCAATGAATACATAATAAAGGCTTTTTAAACGAGTTACAATAATCTTTATAAATAAATATATATAAATATTATATTAATTATGTAACTGTAGAGGCATATGTATATTTTCCTGGATAAATATATATGATTGACTAACCTTCTGAAAAAAACCGAGTCATATTATAGATAGTAATAGATAAAAAACAAACACAACACGTAAAAAATGGGGCATACTAGTCGTGAGACATTGCAGATCTAGTGACATTCAATATAAACGTTACACGAATAAAATTATTATCATCCACTGCAAGCGATTTTCAACCATAATAAAAATTTTAGAGCAAGACTAAGACTTTTTAACAACAATTAAAAGAGAAGGATAGCTTTAAATATTGGTTATTCTAAGCCAGGTCAGAAGTGTTTCTTTTCTTTATACTTATTTTAAGATTATCGCTCAACTAGTATGCAGCTAAAGCAAATTCAGCAGAAACACTTGTTCCCTACGAAGTCGCTTATAACCACTTGGAAGGTTACATTAGAAAAATTTTGCTTTTAATTATAAGGGACTGATTTATAGTTATTTATATGGTTATTAGAATTTTAAAATTACATGGACAAAATTTCAAAATAATAATATTATATCAACATTATAATTGCAGCCTATTAAAAATTATATCAGAGGGTCGAAACTATTACATGTAAAAATTAAAAAACTTTACATTAAAATTTTTCTTCTCCAAAATAATCGAATTTCAACTGACGGAGTTCTAGAAAATACGGATACATATAATTTTATATCTATAATCCTTAGAACTTCAGTTACGGACCGCTTTTTTTTTTTTTTTTTTGTATAATTATTATGTTAAAATTTCAGTGACAAAAATTTATCCTGTGTATCTGTTGAGTAATTCGATTTTTTGTGTTCGCGATTAGATATTTAGAAGTAATATTTAACATTTTATTACCAGTATGGATTTTATAGATAGCTTTAACGTCACGCTTTTAAATTGGCATTAAAGTTGATTCGATAGTTTAGTGGTACACTTGTTTCAAATTCATTAAAATTTTGCAAGTATAGAAGTCACTTTCCATCCTACCTTTTTAAAAAACAGCTCTATTAGTTGATAGAATAGGTCCTATTCTTTTTTAATTCATTTATTCATTCACTCACTAATACACAATTAAATACTTAATTACCAAGAATTTTTTGC